AGATAGATAGATAGATAGATAGATAGATAGATAGATAGATAGATAGACAGACAGACATTTTTAAAAAACTTGGGGAGGGGAGTCCTTCTCAGTGACTGGAGGAATGGATACAGAATGGATACCGATTACATCTTTTTCTCCTGAACTGAACTGATGTCCAACTGGAATGTCACGTCACTAGAGATAACCATGAAGAACCCTCTAGAGCAAGAAAGTCACAAGAAATTTATCCAGATTGTTGACTGGATTTGAGCCCTGCACCTTTGTTGACTGTACACATCCTGTTTCCCCACCTTTACAGAAAAATACCGGAACTGAAGAAGTGTTTCTTATTATGGGAAATGTGTGGGTTTCTAGGATTACATGGCAGGTGGGAATTATCAAGAGAACTGCACCGTATGCAATTCTATCCAGCTCATCCAGCTGCAATCACCACTCAATTCCTGGCTGCAAAGGTTCACCAACGTCACGCATATTTATGGCACCAACATCGCTAGAGCTGCTCACCTGTGTGGGTCCTCCGATGAGCCTTCAGGTGGGAACTTTTTGTGTAAACCTTATTGCACCCTTCAAAATCACACCTGTGGATGCGGCGCTTTCGAGAGTCTGGCGATTCAGACCGTCTCTGGCGTCTTGTGCTCTCAATGCTAAATGGTGAAATTGAACTGTGAAATAGAAAGAAAATGGGAAGTTAATTCCCTTCCCACAGGTAAATCCTCAGGTGGTCTCAATGGCTCTCAGAAAGAGTATTTTTTAATATATATATTTATTTATAGTTTTTTCTTTGACATATGTAAGTGCTTAGTGAACAGTGTGTTGTCTGGGTCAATTTACTTTATACACAATATTAATAACGGCACTAATAATATTGTGATGACCCAGGGCGTGGCACAAAAGCAACAAAGTCACAAAAGTAGGTTAAAGTCCCTTTAATTCCTCCAACTTGACCTCCAATGTTCAGTTATCATCAGCTGGAGTAAAAACACTCCCAAGAACAGTTTTTAAAGGGAAGAAATTTAGTCTGAACCAAAAGTACATATAAATTATAGATAAAAACCAACACAAACCACACTGCGGCAATTAACAAGACGGGGCAGGATAAGGAATTGCAGAACTCAAAAGATAATGAAACACAGACAGTTGGGAGGACACCAGAACCCAGATAGGACTTGACAAACAAAGATAATGCATGCTTTGCTTTCATCAAGTTTCTGTGCGCAAACCCCCTCTTTATCCTGTTTCCCCAGCTGCAGCCCATGAAGGGAATCAGGGCCTCCTTCTCCCCCATAACCCACGTTAATCCCTTATTTGTTCCTCACTGCGTGCCCTAGGATGCAGAGGGGGTGGGCCTAGGTCTTCCTATGAATGCCCAGCCGGACTGTGCCCTTCCCCAGTTTCCTCCACAGCCACCGGAGCCACACTCCCACTCCCTGTCAGCTGTTCCACCTCTCCCTCGGAATCAGACTCCAACAGGGGCATGACAACTGTTTAGGTATATACATCTTTCAACTTCTAACATTTATGTATACACAGTAATTATAATATATCATATTATGTGGCAGTATACATATTGCTATTTTCCCAATTTCTACTTTTTACCTCTATTTTCTAACCCTTAATAAAGCAATTCCCATATTAGGAAGTATCATGTATGTATCCATCATCTCTTGTTCTTTTTAATATTTCAACTCTTGTAGGCTTTTGGACAAATCTCAGAGAGGGTACTTAACAACCAGATGACTGCGAAGAAATAGGATCCTTCCATCCCTCCTCACCATCCTGCCAGAACTGATGAGAAGTGAAACCAAGAAAGTATTTTGAAAAAACACCTTTTGGACAACCATGGATTGGAGGACTGAGAATTTCCACAGACACTTTGCTCTGAGACAAATGTGAGATGGGGGGCAAAAGACAGAAAACTTATTCGGCAAAGAATGAATACAAATCACAATATGGTTTTCATTGACTCTTCTTAATACTCTCACACTTTTCCTCAGCACACTTCTCTTTAATGACACAGAGTCCTGAAACATATGGATATGGGGCACACACCAGGGGCAGGATTCAACTAGTGTAACAACCGGTTCAGTGAGCGTGCACTTTGCGTGTGTGCAGCATTTGCAACTCACCTTCTGCTGCAAGCCCTGTGTGTAAAACAGCTGATGCACGGCAATCCACTGTGCCGTGCAAAGCAGCTGAGCTGGAAAATCTGGAAAGAAAGCACAGATGGGTAGGAGACTAACAGCTGATAGTCAGAGCGAACTGGTTCGCTCCCAGCTGATCTTTGGAGCTACCAGTTTTCCTGAACCGGGTTGAACCAGTAGAATCCTACCCCTGGCACACACCACCTCGCTTTGTAAACCTTGTCCTGGGTCACTAATAGGTCATCCTCAGCTTATGACCCCCATGGAACCCAATGTTTCTGTTCTCTAAGCGAGACAGCTGTTAAGTTAATTTTACCTCAATTTGCAACTTTTCTTGCCACAGTTGTTAAATGAATCACTGCCGTTGTTCAGTCAGTAACAGGGTGGTGCAGTGAGTCTGGTTCCCTATTGACTTTGCTTGTCTGACGTTTGCAAAAGATGATTACATGACCCCTGGGACACTGCAACCGTCATAAATACGAAACAGTTTCCAAGAATCCAAATTTTGATCATGTGATCATGGGGATGTTGCAATGGTTGTAAGTGTGAAAAACGGCCATAAGTCACTTTTTTTCCGTGCTGTTGCAACTTTGAAAAAGTCACTAAACAAACAGTTGAAAATCAAGGACTATGTGTAAATTTTCTCCCAAGCTCCTGCCACCTTGGAAGCTAATTTTATTCAGCCCAAAGAGGAACCTACACTTGTCTCTTTCTCTGAAGCCTTTACGACACAGGTGTCAAACTCAATTTCACTGAGGGCAGCATCAGGGTTGTGAGGCACGGTTGGGGCCGTGGAGATGACTATGGTGGGCACAGCCAGCTTGATGTCACTCATATTGGGGCGGTTAAGGCGGGACTTCCCTCAGAGCCTCCCTCCTTCTCATAATCTCCTTCCTTCCTCCCTCCCTCCCTCCCTCCCTCTCTCCTTTCCTTCCCCTCTGCCCTTATTTTTCCTTCCCTTCTCTCTTCCCATCTTCCCTTCTTTTTCTTTGTCTTTCCTCTTACCCTTTTTCTGTCCCTTCTTGCATGCTCAAATGTAAAAGGGAAAACATTTCTCCTTTTGTTTTGTTTTTAGTTTGTTTTACTAGCCCTCTGCCAGTGAAAATGGAGCACATACACACACACACACCAAGCTCCATTTTCGCTGGCAGAGGTACTGAGGGCTGGTCCTTCGCTGTTTCCAGGCCAGCCCCATGGGCCAGATCTAAGCACTCTGCAGGCCAGATTGGGCCCACGGGCCTCGAGTTTGACACTCCTGCTTTAGGAGAATTACAGATCTTTGTGTCCACATGTCTGTTCTTCTCTGTAAAAATAATAATAATAATAATTAGATTCTAGCCATCCCCAACTTGGGCCTTGTGCATGAATTTGGACTGCAATTCCAGATGATGGGCACCCAATTAAAGACAGAGGGTGTGTTCCATGGCCATTTTTAATTATATGCAATAACTACAGATAATTGTTTCAAGGTGAAGATTTCCATTCTTCCACTAGATGGAGAAAAAACCCTTCAGAAGAGTGGAAGATTCCCAGCAGCCGCTAAACCAGCTTCTCTCCCCCTTTTAACTTACAACATTTATTTTCCTGCCAAAAGTTTCTTCCTTTGTTTGCCTGATGAAATCACCTGGATTTCACAGGCTTTGGTCCCTACAGGTGATACAAACAATGGTTTTACTGCTTTAAAACCTGTCGTGTGTCTGTCTGAAGAGGAAAACAAATCTTTAATAAGTTGTGTGATTACCTTTTTTTTTTTTTTTTTGGCCAAGGTTAATAATAAATAAAATATAATAAGGTCAGTTAGTTTTGGAGGAACAAATATGTGTTTCCTATAGAACTTTGGTTTCATCACAAAACAATTTATCTTCGCTCGCATTTAGCAACACACAAAAATTTAACCAAAACTGGATCTTCAGTGCAGCAGTTGGATCCTACTTATTCCACTACCGGTTCAGTGATCATGCGTGCACGTAACATGTGCACACCTAAGGCATGCATGCAGCTTTTCCCACACCAGCTGAGGCCTGAACACCAGTCTGCACAGGCCTGCACACCAGCTAAGGCCTATGGAAGGGCCGATCCTGCACTTTTCTCTTCTTTCTCCTCTCAGCAGATTGTCAGAGGGTTTTTTTTACTACCAGTTCAGCTAAACCGGGCCAAACCAGGTAGCATACCACCACTCCTTCAGTGCAGAAATTCCAAAAGTGCTTTGGTGGGCCACATCTTCTATGGTACCAGAAAACAAATTCTTTAATTTGAATTACTGTCAAAGAAGACTCTTCCATCATGTCAGATCCAAATAGGATATAAATACAGAGAATTTTAAGAAGACGAATGCAAAGTTCCAGGTACGAAGACTATCTGGCCACATCTTTGCTAATAAAATGAAGCAGGAACTCTAAAACGAAGTGTCCGCTGATATACGAGTAAAGGTATAAAAACAGATTTTTGCCCTACAAAAATCCAGATGACCGCCAGATAGAAAGAAAGAGGAAACATTTCCTACATCTGCAACCTTGTGGTCTCAGGTTTTTTCACAACTGGTAGCCCAAGGAAGCAATTTTAAATTCTAAGCCCGGAGATGATTTCAGGGTTAGTCCAAAGCAGAGGTGGTATTCAGCAGGTTCTGACCAGTTCTGGAGAACCGGTAGCAGAAATTTTGAGTAGTTCAGAGAACCGGCAAATATCGCCTCTGACTGGAGATTTTACAGTATCCTTCCCCTGCCACACCCATTAAGCCACACCCACAGAACCAGTAGAAAAATTTTTTGAATCCCACCACTGGTCCAAAGTTTCCTTTAGTATTTGACTTTAAGCATTTCTGGTAAGATGGAACAGTAAGTAAACCTGGATGTAACTACATAAAGAAAGCCGAACAGCAACGGAGAAGCGCTTTGACATCTCACAGCAACCTCACTGACTCCATTGATATTTCATTATTCAGTAATCTATGATTCCACAGAGAAATCAACTGTACTTAAATATATTTGTAGTACTAGAGGAGAAACAAAAATGCTAAAAGGAAATTTATCACTGCAGTAAGGTCTTGGGCATTATATTCATGGAGCATGATGTTCCCAGATTTTGACCTATAGAGTAATCTACACACCTGGTACAAATTTACAGTGATATATATATATGAAAACTGCATAGGTTTGAACAAAAAAAAAGCCGGCTCTTTGGGCACAGTCTCGTATAACGAGTGTTATAAATTCTCCAAAGTAGGACTAGGCAATTTATTACGATTTCTGGTTTGCCTCCAAGATCATGGAATCGCAAAACCCCCAAAGCTTGAGGCACATCATTCATCTTTTCACCTGGATTCCTGCAGTGAGAACAGGAATGAAAAATCGCCTGGTTGGGTAATCTCTTCTCCTGCAGTGCAGCAAGGACAGAAAGACAAATTGAAGGCTACACAGCCTATCCTGACAAAATCAGCCGTCCTCCCCCTCCCAGCCAAGACCCTTCCTTGAAGAAGATCAGACTTGCTCCTGTTCCAATCTCATGGGGAAGCAATTTCAGTA